CCCCGGGGGCGGGCAGGCGCAGCGGAGGCTCCGTCCCGCGAGAGACGGGTCAATTCCTGATTCCGCCCGGCTCCCTGTGTGACCCTGGGCTGGGCCTCAGGCGTGGGGAGCAGAAGGGTCCCCCCCACCTTGTGGCTAGAGGCGCTGCCGCCCCACCATCACTCAGAGACACATTCTCCCCCAGGGTTATGACTGCAGATGATCTGCTGCATCTGGAGACATCTGGGGGGGGGGGAAATGGGGTCCCCCCCAGCACGGCAGTGCAGAGCCCAACGCAACCCCGGCTGTGGAAGCAGGCTCCCCACGTCTGGGGGAGAGGGGGCGTCCGGGTGGCTCAATAGGGGATTTCTCTGGGGTGCCCACCCACCCCACCACTGGGCAGCTCCCAAGGACTCAGAACTAAGCAATTGGGCAGAGGCAGCCCGGGAACTGACTTGCCCACCACCAGCCCCTGTTGCGGGCAGACCCAGCAAGAGCCCGGCCTCTCGGCAGGGTGTGGGAAGAGACTGTTCCACTTGAAAGTCAAGGCAGACGTGAGCTCCCAGTCCAAGCTGCGCCCGGGCTCAGGGAGGAGAGTTTGGGCCCAGCCCCAGACTTTACAGACCAAAGCCAGCCCTGGGGACGGAGCCTGTGAACAGACCTCGGACTCGATAAGGGGCGCCAGGAATCAAAGGGAAACAGGAATCGGCTCGCGCCCAGCTGCAAAGGAGCCTCCGCAGGAGATGCCCCTACACTCAAAGCCTTTCAAACAGGGCAGGACGGAACGTGGGAGCCGAGACTGGTGGGATCAGCCCCAGGGAGCTGGGGGGTTCACGGGGGTTTTCCACTGCTCACCCCCCGAGTGAGAAATGGGTCTTCCACTCTGCATCTGGGACCCGCCCGCTACAGCCCATCTCCTCAGCAGCACAGGCTCCCGTGAGCACTGTGAGCCAAGGGGCAGGGTCATGGGTTTGGGGAACACTGGTCCACTTTCTATGGGGCAAGGCCTCCCCACACTAGAAAGGGACCCGATCTCCTGGGGAACAGGCTGGCTGGATTAGACAGGCGAGGGGACAGCACCATCATGGGGAACTTCAATTTGAGTGCAAAATATCCTGGAACGTCCTACCACTATTCTGTGACTGAAAAGGGCTGCCTCCAATGTTCCCGCTACTCTTTTCCATGGGTGTGTGGAATAATTCTGTGCGCGCGCTGAGGCATGTGGGAATGTGCACCGCTAGTGGAAACAAAACACTAGCTGTGGGCACTCTGCTAATCAGGAGGGCAGCATCGGAGTCTCTCCTGAGCGGCCGTACAAGTGCGCATCTTACAGGGAACAAAAGGGAAGGGTAAAAAAGAGAAAAGATCCGGGCACCCAGAGACAAAATCAACATGTGGGGAACAACAGTAATGACGGAACCAAAGGAAACGAAGAGAAGAAACCCCTGAAGTGCCTATTCATCAATGCTAGGAGCTAGGGATGTTAAAATGCGGTTGATTGACTAGTCGAGTAGTCGATGGAACTTCCATCGACTACTCGACTAGTAAATAGGCCCGCTGGAGCTCTTGTACTTTTGAAAGGAGGAATGCTGAACTCCGCATGCAGCCCGGGGCCAGTGGGAAGTCCCACTCACTCCAGACTGCACATGGGCGTGCAAGCTTTGAAATGGGCTGCCCCTTTGAAACGCAGAGGCGGCGTTTCAAAGGGGCAGCCACCGCATAGCTGATCCCCGGCTCAGCTGTGTGGTGCTGCCACTTTGAAGTACCCCCTCCCTCCTTTGCTGCCTCTATCTCATAGAGGCAGCAAGGTGGGGGGAATCAACTAGTTGACTAGTCGAGAGACTATCCTGTATAAGCAAATGCTTACCAGATAGTCGACTAGTTGACTAGTCTTTAACATCCCTGCTAGGAGCCTGCATATATTACAAAGGCAAAGAATCGAAACAGATCATATCTGGCCATCAATTAGATCCGGTTGGTAACACTGAAACCTGGTGGGGTGATTGGCATGACCGGAGTGATAAAATCAGCGGTTATAGTCCTGCTTTGGAAGCATGGAGTGGGAAAAAGAGGGGCGCACTGTTAAAACCATCATCACCTGTTTCCGAGTTGCTGACCACTAGGAAGAAAGCGGTCTTGAATGCTTACGGGCCAACGCCCTAATGAATCACACACAAGACGGGGTATTAAGTGACTGCTAGAGACCATCAAATCACAGCAGGGAACAGAATGACCAGATCTGCAAGCGTTTGTCTCTCCAGTGTCACGGGGAGCTTCAATTGGAGTGCAAAATATCCTTGGAATGTCTTACCATTATTCCGTAACTGAAAAGTGTTGCCTCCAGTGTTCCCGCCAATCTTTTCCATCCATGTGCGGAATAAATGTTTATGTGCACTGAGGCATGTGTGAACGTGCACTGCTAGTGGAAACAAAACACTAGCTAGGCATTTGAATCTCTCCTGAGCGGGCGCACAAGTGCGTGTCTTACAGGGAACACTGGTTGCGTCCAAGGGAGGGGAATTCCGTGTTAGACCTTATCTTGACAGGTAAAGCCGCCTGGCTCACAGAACGAACCATTAACGGTGGCTTAGGCACAAGTGATCACGACTTGATCACACTGATACGGTGCAAACAGAACGAAGTCCAGACCAGCGACATACACGCTCATGGGGCTTCGAAAGAGTCAATGTCACAAAGCCGGAAACAAGGAGCCAGATCAGCTGGGAGGAAGAATGTAATTGGCGAAATGCAAATGATGATTGGGAATTGCTTGAGAACACATGCAGGCAGCTTTTCTATCCATATTGGAGGTCTTTCTAAAGATCTGCTCTAGGAATGATACTTAGGGAGTTTGCCAGACCCGTAGCAGACAAAAGGTCAGACTCAGTGCTCGGGCCATATGAATCTATGCACTGACCTCTATGGACTACACTGGCTCCCCACAGAACCTCACGCCGGGATCAAAGTCTCGACCCTTATCTTCAAAGAGCCCCGTGGTCCAGTGTATCTAAAAGCGGTGCCCCTCCGACATCACAGGGCACCGCTCACCTGTGCGAGAGGCAGGGCGTGCTCCAGGGTTAGTCTGAGCATGTGGGACCCGCTAAGGGCCCCCACAAGCACGCAGCTGGTCGCCCTGCTCCGACTCACCTTCACCGTATAAACACACTGCAGCGTGACCACTGCCTCCCAAAAGACACACTGCTCTCAGCCAGGGGCAGAGGGTGAGAGAGAGCAATCCACACAGGACAGGTGTGAGGCTGCTGGAAAGGGCTTGGAGGCTCCGGTGCTGAACACGCACGAAGGGAAGGGAAGGGAAACCCATGGACCCCACTGGACAACCTGTTTCACATGGAGCCCAACAGAAAAGTAACTCAAGAGCCTTTCCACTGGGCCGTTCCAACATCTAGGCTCCCATCCGCGGGGAGCAGAACCATGGGCCTGTCACGGCAGCTCCCCGTGCACCCGTCCCCATGCTCCCGGCACCACTCAGTGAGCACTTGGCTGCATTATGAACATGTGCAGGGGCGTTCAGGAAGAACGAATCCACTACAAGAACTCCCTGGAGGTTAAATAGCCTCTCCTGTCCACAAAACTGCCTTGTATCGGCTGCAATTTTATCCCCCGGCTACACGGCAGAGGTCACCTGCAGTCCTGTCCTGCCCTCTTCTCACCACAGCCGCTGCATCTCCCTTCTCTTTCTCCCATTCTCCGGTATCAAAAGGTCAGAACTTCCACCACACTGAGTATGTCTGCACTGCATTGCTCTTTCGAGGGAGGAATGCAAATGCAGGCGAGCGAAATTGCAAATGAAGCGCGGATTTGAATTTCCCGCGCTTCATTTGCATCATCGCATCCGAGCGAAATACCCTATTTCGAAAGACAAAATGCTGTTGAGATGCAGTTATTTCGAGAAAAAAACCCTTCTTTCGAAATAACCCTTAAACCTTGTTTTTGAAGGAATAAGGGTTATTTCGAAAGAAGGGTTTTTTTCTCGAAATAACTGCATCTCAACAGCATTTTGTCTTTCGAAATAGGGTATTTCGAAAAAGCGGCCGGATGCGATTATGCAAATGAGGCACGGGAAATTCAAATCCGCGCTTCATTTGCAATTTCACTCGCCTGCAATTGCATTCCTCTCTCGAAAGAGGAATGCGGTGTAGACATACTCAGTGTGAACATCTCCGTATATGCAGGCAGGATGCGCACCTGTGTGGCCAAAGGCAAAGGAGTTACTTCAGATTTACCCCAGAGTGCTGGAGGGAAAGAAAAGTCAGGTGGTTAGAGCCCTTCTCTAGGACTTGAGAAACTGGTGTTCCATTCCTTGCTCTGACACAGACCTCCTGTGCCCCCTTGGACAAGTCACTTAACCACTCCATGGGTCAGTTTCACGAGACAATGGGCATGACAGTGGCTATGAGACAGGCAGATGCCCAAACACACTGCGAACGGGGTCCTCAGGTAGGGATCAGAAGCCGATTCAAGCATGCTCACCTAATAACAGCCATCACCACATTTCGTGTATTGTCTCCTATCAAATGCCACCTGAATTTGGTCTCTCAGATGCTTAGAGAGCCCAATAACTGGAAGGTGCCACGCTGCTCCCAAGAAGGCCTCGTTTTTGCTGGGGCCTCTTCCCTCTCTCAATTTTTGATCAACCCGTGTATGCCAGGACTGGGCCTAAGCAGCCTCCCAGTGTGGCCTAGCATGGTTCAAACCACATCGCGCACCTAGTGAATTCCTCGCTCTGCTCCTTTGCCCCTTGTGCTGCACATGCCTTGCTGGCACCCTTGGGGCAGCCTCTTCCCGCATCTTTCCACCTCCCTTCAAACCTCAAACGAAAACATCTCCCTTCTGCCCTGAGTTTGGCCAGGAACGCCCCCGGATTGCAACCTGACAGCACGCTCTGCCGCCACGTGCCCTGATTCTGGGGCGCTTTCTTTGGGTTTGGGGTTTGCATAGGGACCCCGCCCGGGTCGCATGGCCGGTTTCGGACTCCCGGCAGCCCCGGTGGGAGTGCTTACCTGCAGAAGGCGCCCAAGCTTTCCACCAGGTAGCACTGGCCCCCGTTGTGGCAGTAGCTGGGGAAGATGTCGCAGACGGATTTGCAGGAGTTGTTATCCCTGACTTAGCCACTTCTGCACTCGGTGCCGTTCTCGCTGCCTGGCCCCGCCGCCATGGCCGACTGGCCCAGGTCCTTGCTGGTCTCTGCCGGGCGCGGCCCGGACGTGGCGCCGCCCCCCGAGAGGATGAAGGTCTGGAGGGGAGGGGTGGGCAGTAGCTGGGGAAGATGTCGCAGACGGATTTGCAGGAGTTGTTATCCCTGACTTAGCCACTTCTGCACTCGGTGCCGTTCTCGCTGCCTGGCCCCGCCGCCATGGCCGACTGGCCCAGGTCCTTGCTGGTCTCTGCCGGGCGCGGCCCGGACGTGGCGCCGCCCCCCGAGAGGATGAAGGTCTGGAGGGGAGGGGTGGCG